ACCTTCCTTTAGCAACTTCCCCTGAAAATGAGTTGGCAACACTGCATGTTGAGGCTGTTTTACTATCCCAAATGGCTGCTGACCTCTTGACGCCATCAATCACCAGTCAATCATGCGCTCAGGACGTTTCAGTGACCAACCACTTGTTCTCGTTGTTGTTTCCCGTTAACTTTACCCCTTGTGTAAGCAATCAGACAACCGACTGCAGATAATGCTTGTTTAAGATGACCAATAAAGGGCAAGAACATTACCTGCTAAAATTGTTTGTATATATGTTTATATACACATCTTAAAACTATAAAACAAAATATTGTGATTTTTAATCAAAGACGAAATGTTACAATTTACTACTATTTTACTTAACGATTTATTAGCTTGAACCATTTTTATTCAAGATACTCCTTTCAGAATTTTGTCCATCTCAAAGTCAAAGCTCAAAGTGCAGAATAATGTTTAGCTAAATAGCGCCACTTGTTGGTCTAATTCAACACATGAAAATGATTTTTTCCTGCAAGTGCTGTGCTGAACAAAGACTTGGCCATATACAAAAAGCAGCTCAGACCTTACATCTCTTCTGTGAAACAGCTAAAACACCTTGTTTTACTATGGTAAGGACTATTAATTTTACTATTCTTAAAATTTGACATTTGATCTTGGATGTCACATTGTTCATTATGAGCTCAATTTGCTGTATTGTCCAATTTGTATTTATTTTGAAAGACAAGATAGTTATGGTCCATTTTAAATAATCATTTACGTCAAGTACAGGTTACACTGTAACAAGTATTTTCAGAAATACTACAATGAAAGACATCAATATGGAAAAGAACTGAGAGAAAATGTGTTATGTGAACAGTATAAATAATGGAGTGAGCGTTATATCAAAAAAACATTATAACTACAAATTATACACACACTGGTCAACCATGAAAATTTAAGTTATGACAAAATGTGCCTTGTTTAATTTTTTTTTTTAAATCCTTAAAGGGATAGTTCATCCAAAATGAAAATTCTGTCATCATCTATTCACCCTCAAGTTGCTCCAAATGTATGAACTTCTTTCTTCAGTTGAACACAGAAGATATTTAGCAAAATGTTGGTAACTAAACTGTTGACAGTAGCCATTGACTTCCATAGTATGGAGAAAAAAATACTATGGAAGTCAATGGC